GCTGTTAATTAATCAATCAAGTCCTCACAGGCTATCATGAAAATAGGGTGCAGATTTACCATTTTGAAAGTGATTCTCATAAGGAAAGCAGAAACATAGATGAAAACATGAACAGAATACGCACTTTAAGAAAAGGCCATGGAGAGAACCACAATGACTACGCATCAATAACCATATGTTCATCTTGATAACTAAACTGAATAACACAGAACTATTTTAGAATTCCCTCCGTATCTAACAAACGGGACAAAAATATATTTACAGTAGTATGGACAAAAAGGATACACTTTGTTTAGCCAGATACAGAAAAAAAATAAAGACAACACAAAACAGGCTTCTGAAATCACTGTCTACAAAACATTCTTCCGATAGGTTTGAACCTTTCAATGGCAACCAAGTCTGACACACACAAAAAAATAAACTTCAGTTTCTGAGGATGTCACAGAAACAGGTGGTTAAGGCTGCAAAGAGACATCCTGCTCAAGGCCTCGCTGAATAAAAGACTACTGAATTTGCTGAGACTCAAACGTAATGATCTCTCTTATATAACTGAACAGCATACTGCTAAACACCTTGCTGATGGCTCACACAGACAAGACATACATAGAAGAAATGGCTGTAAGTTACATAGCATACAATACAGAAAAAAGACCCCTACATTTTGTCAAAGGTCAAAGTGACATGAGTTTCAGCAGTATTCTTTGTTCTGAAATGAATGAAAGGCATAAAACAATAAGGATCAGCAACATTAGTTTTTTTCACGAAGATTATCTTAAAGTTAATAGGGTAACAATCACGTAGACTTGGTCTCTTAGTACTTGTAGACAGAACAGTGTTTTGGAAATTGACTGCGCATTGATTTGGTGCCATAGCAAACTACGATGCCAAAGTTCATAAAGCAATATCAAATGAAAATACAAGAAAATACTGGAATTCTGCAGTCCTTCACAAGAAATAATACTTGAGTCCCTCACCTCTGACAACAGTGAATATTTACTAACGGCTGCAATCCAGACACTCTTCAAAGAGTTTTGAGGGTGAAATGGGATTAACGGGAAGAAAGAAAACGCGCAAGCCAAAATACCAGTGGAACAAAAATCAATAAGAGGAATATACAAAATACAAAATGAATGGCAAGTGGAAAAAAATGTCTGAGTTAGGAAAACTAAAACAGTATTTCATGTTTAGGTGTGATTGGGGTTTCTTAAGGTGCACTGTTTCCACGTGTATTACTGTAACGTGACACACATCCTTTTCCTCATTACTGTTAATTACAATGGAAACCTCCTATAATTAACTGTAAAAAAAACTTACATAAAAAACTGTAAAAAAACTTACATAAACCAACCTTTCCCCTCATATCACATAAATAGAAATAATCTTTTGCACTAACTCTTCTGTAAAATAAGGTGTTTGCAGTATAATAATTCAAATTACACTGCTGCTTCTATTCCAACAAAACCATTCATCCAGCTGCAAAAAAAAAACAAGGGAGACATTCAGCATTTAACTTATTACAAAAGCAAGCAGGCCAGCGAAGACCATCTAATGCCTATACTCACGTTATAAGTTCTTATGCTACGTTATTCAAAACAATTTCCCATATCTTCTCTCTACCATTTCTGCTACCAGCAAAGGCATAAGCACATACATCTTTCAGCTCTGTCTCACGCAGTCCTTTTCTGACTTCTCCAAATAAGAGGTATTCATCCTCCGTAGCATCAGTCACCCTCGGCAAGCTTGAGACACCAGCACAGAATGCTACTCAGGAGAAATTTTGTGCATCTTATTTTGAATTCTAATTAACACTTGAAACAACAGTTGTTACCCACCTATTTGAATTAAAGGTCTTTCCACGTCAATCTGCCTAACCACAGATAGATGTCATTAGGTTCCACTAATGTCAGAGATGCAGCATCTGAACCTCTTTGCAGAGACCAGTAAGCTGCTGGTGATAAACATTTTTCTCAGCTATTAAGATGATAATCAGCGAGAACTTCATGGAGAGCAGGCTAGTTATAATTCTGTTTACCATCACATTACCCTTCCGCAGCACCCTAAGTCTGCCTTGAACTACAAACCCATGCTCCACTCCAAAAAACTATTCTTTTGATCTAAGTAAAAGATGGTTAGAGTAATTAACAGATTCGCATAATATTAATATACCTGGGAGCAAAGCTAAAGCTTGCATATCTGCAATAATCAGTATATTACAGAAAATGAAATGATGAGTACAAACATCACTGCAAAATAGGTAAGATTTAGCAACACAACTTAGACTTTCTTTCCACTGACCATTACATTTTGCAAAATTTTTCTCTTTCCATCCCACAGAAAAAAATAAATATGTATTCCAAGCTATTACCTCCTAATCTTCCAAGCTTTAAAGTCAAGCTTTAAGGGAATAATTACAATCACTGTTTTTCTTGAGCTATATGCCACTGCAACCCAAATTCAAAGTTCCACACCATGACGACACAGCATGGTGAATGAGGCCCTCATACTGCGCTTGTTGTCATCTCTCTGAAATGCTGCAGGTTGCTTGCTTACCCTTCAAAACAAGCAGGATGAGGACCAGCTACATAGCACACACTGTTCATGGCATTCTGCATGCTAGCAAATGTGATTAGCACAGAAAACGCGAGAAGACCAGAAGGCATCTTTCCATATTCAGCCATGTATGTTTAACACTGAGCTAGATTTCACCTCAGTGCATTATTATGTTGATCGACGGCAGGTATGGCAAGGAAGACATAGGCTGACATCAGCTACTTTTAAGCTTTTCTCTTCTTCCCCTCCCTCATTTACCACCTCCAGCTTCTATGACACCATGCATTGTGCATTTATGTGCACTCATGTGCACAGGCCGCAGAGACTTATCTATTAAGATCAGTTATGTGGTAAAACTGCAAAAGGAAACTTTCACCCTTGTCCAGGTGGTTGAGAAACTGCAGAGGCCAACAGCAGCTTCTAAACGCATGCTCTCCTCCCTCCACCCCCACGTCTCTAATCACTTAGGAGGAAGATAGGAAGATTAGCAGAGAGGAAAAAAAATAACCAAAGCTGCAGATAACCCTTTAGGACCACAACGTCAGGCTATGAGATCTGGAGCGAAAGGTTAATGCGGTAGTATTTTCAGGAATCAGACAATTGTGTTTTACATGAGAGGGAGGGGTACTGAGAGGGTGAGAAAAAGAAAAGGAAGTGGTGATGAAGACAAAAATGAATTTGTCATCCACAGCTGGATCTTTGATCACCTGGAGTACCCAGGAAAAAAAAAAGATTACCGAAAGAAATAGGATAGTTTTATTACCAACATACTGCATTTTTTTGGTGGAGTATTTTCATCATTAGAGCAGATTTTAGTAAGGATACAGCTGCACAAGTAAGGGCTTATTGAGCCATGCAAAGAATAAATAAAGGTGATACCCAAAACACTGACAGATAGCTACCTTTAGCAGCTGATGTAATGAAAAGGATTAAAAAATATAAATATAAATAAAAGTCACTTTCACTGGAAGACAATGTCATCCCCATCCCTGTCTCTGAACGGTTGCTATGGGGTTGTGAAGAGGAGGGGAAAGATGGGGGGGGTTATAATCAATCATCTCAGAAGAGCATTGCTTCTTACAGAGAAAGATCTGGATTTTGACTGTGTCCCTAAGAAAATTGCGGACTGCAGAGCTGCTGCCACGCAGGGCAATGAGGAAGCAGGCAGAGCAGAGGCAGCAGCTGGGGATGGAAACGCCTATTAAAACCTTTAGACAACAGATGGGCAAAGCTCGGCTGGTTTAAAAAAAAAAAAAGAAAAAAGAAAAAACAACACACACGCACACACAAAACCAAAAACAACAAAAAAAACCACCCCACCACAATGCATCATGTTTTATTGTCCCACCGTAATGAACAACACTTCATACCCACATGCCCAAAGAAGCCCCCTATTACTAATTTCCCCTTTCCCTGAATTATCATCTCAAGACTCAGTTCACTTTGAGGGGAGGGGGTCTCCCCAGTCCAGTGAATTTGCCAGATCCCATTGCTTATTGCACCTGTTACTACAGAAAATGAAATAAAATAAAAAAAGGAATAGTCATTTGGGCTTCTTTTAGAGGTTTTCCTTCCAATTAAGGATCCCCTGCCCTTGAAGTGAATATGCTATCTAAGCAAGCAACAGCAAGTCCAGATCTTTAACGCATTTAGAGGATCTAATTATGTCATGTAGGGCAGAAGCACCTGCTCTCCGCTAATTCCCTCCACTCTGTTTCCTCTTTTTAATATTTCTTACCATTGTTCCATTCAAACAGATCTGCTGGGGGTGAGTTCATAAACAAGCTTTAAGAGAAATAATTAAATAACCTCCCCTCCCCCTCATTCTTCCTACAAAAACATAGGATAACCAGAATTCTGCTACTGATCCTGTATTTTTCTTTTATTTCAGATGCTACACAAAAAAATCACCAGCTCATCCATCCATATTTGGTAAATGCCCAATGCAGTCAGTGCCACAGATATACTGTATATATTTCCCACCACCAACTGCACCTTAAGGACTACACCCTTTTCAATCATGATGTCATGAAATACTGCTGGTGACTCCCCCACTACCACCACCACCACCTCCTTGGTACTACAGGCTGTGAACCTTCCATTTCAATATAATTTGATTAAAAAGAAAAGACTTCTAAGTAGGGCAGAGAAGAAATTGATGTGAAAATCCGCCACAAGCATCATCTATTTTTTCCTCTGCATGCACTCCTTCCGTCACCAGAACACCACCCATAAGAAGGAGTAATGAACATGAAGCATCTTGGTTTTTTTTAAAGAGAAAAAAATAACATGGATATTAAAAACAAAGCAAAAAAAAATCCTTTGTGAATATTATCTTCATTAAATCGGCAAACGGGAAAACCTGATCCCTCACATACCCCATCCCCAACACCTCACTGGCTGCTACAGCACCTTCCCCTTGGCGCGGGTGCTGCTGCAAAGGAACCAACCTGTCTGTCCTTTTCCTAGGGTTTTCTCCAAACGATAGGGTCCAACATATTGTGCATGTTGAGCTCCGCTGCCTTCTTTCCCTGTTGATGTCATTTCTACCTGGATCTGTAATTCTGCAATGTGTATGTGCTGATGAGCTGGAATTTCTCTCTGCAGTTCTTTAAATTCCCACTTTGCAGCTGTGCAAGCAAAGCACTCTTTCTTTTTGCTTTAGTCCACTTGGTTGCAGATTTTTCTCTTCCTCCTCTTTCTTTTCACTCTCTTTCACGTGCCTGTTGTCTCGCTGGGTCTGTCTGGGACGCTGATGTGCGAAGGAGTTATTTTAATGTTCAAAGAGGGGGGATCTACGATCCAAGCCCAAGGAGCATGATGCTGGTGATCTGGGCTCCGCACGCCTTGTTCTCTCTAGGAGCTGTTCAAGGGAGAGCCAGGGCTAGAGCAGCGGAAGAGCCGGGCCCCGCAGCTGTGATTGACATTGCAAGCAGCCAATCCCCTCGTCTCCCACCTCCTTCTCCCCTCCTCCTTCCAGTACCTTTTCTTTTCCATCAGCAGCAGCAGTTACTGCCTCTGCCTGCTACAGAGCATCATAATCAATAGGAACGGCAAACACCCAAGTTTATCAGTCTATTGATAAGGCACTATTAAATATAATTAAGGAGCGTGTTATTTTAAATCCCAAGCACACACGTTTCTTTCTCATGAATTATACTCCTCTATGCAGCTGTACCTCCATGGTACTGAATAAAGGATGTGACTGTGGCAGGAAGCAGGAAGGGAAAAAAATCTACTTCAGAAAACGAGCTTGAGAAATTCATTAATTCTGTTTGATTCTGAAGGACCTGTATCTTCAGTGGGTTTTACCCTTTAAAGAGAGCCTTTGGGGAGGAAACAAAAAGAAAAAATAAAATGACAGGGAAAAAAAACAGGGCCCGTCCTGTAGCTATTGAACTCAGTGGCAGACGTGCTTTTGAATTTGATGGCAGCAAGCAGACTTTGCATCCTTAGGTGAACAGATCAAAAATGGCACGGCTGCAATTTTCATTATATCAAAAAATCAAGGTGTTTAATGGGAATAGGAAAGGATTCTCAGATCCACAGATAATAACATCCATAGGCTCTATACCAGCAGACTAAGGAAACCTGCATTGCTTTTGTCCAAGTACTTATACGTATCTTTACATTCCTAAGTGTTTAAGAAGTTTGTTAGGCATAAACCTATGTACTTTCTGGACTTCGGGCTATACAACAGTTTCAGACTCCAGGGCTATCAAACTGAAACCAATACCACACGAATTTCCTTTTTACCTTCTCTTCTCTGCACTGATCCAGATAGCAAACTGGTCGGAATATCCTTTTTGAATTGCAACCAGGAAATGCACAGCAGGGATTCTTCAATCACAGAGGAAAGCCATGACAAGCCTGTAAAAGAAGGAGAGAGTAAAGAGGACAAAACTTGGATGCACCTTATCACTTTATGTTGCTAGTTGAGTGCAAAGACTAGTGACTATTTCAGGGTTGGTTTTTTTTTCTTTCCGAAAAAAAAGGATATATTTTTAAAATACCTGTATCTACATGAATCACCTGATGAAGGAAATTAGAATAACACCAGAAACCTGTAACACAGGCAACACAACTCCACCCAACAGGTTGCAGAACATTAACGGGATAAGGAGATGAGAGAGAGCTAGGCCAGCAGCGTGAAATTTTAGACCAACTCCAAGTTGTCCTTGTGTCTCCCTCAGGAAACAAAAACCCCAATGCTTGTTTTGGCCTTCCTCTGCATTGCTTTTTATGGTTCACCTTTAATTACTTCCAGAGCATGCTGTTACCTGCCAGCAAACCAGTGGTGCCCCCAGCGCTCTGCTCCTCCTCAGACTTCTCTCACCCTGTGGGGCTGCCTGCTAACGGCTGCTGCTCCTCTGAGAGGAGTGGCTCCACCATCACCAATGGTACCTCCCAGCACTTCACAGGCATTTACTCTCCTCCTCTCCCCATCTCACTTTTGCTAAACTGCACATTTTTATTTCTCCAATCTTTCCCAGTGCTGGGATGGCATTTCCCTGTGTCTGGCACAGTGTGAAGCCACGAGGCTGAGAGGAGAGGGTGCAACAAGCGCTCCGAGAGCCTGTGGCAATATGGCGACTGTTCGATCCTGCTCTTCCCGCCAAAAGCGCTGAGGCAAAGACATTGCATTGCATCCCCCTCCAGAGCAGCTGTGAAGGCTGCAGGCAAAACGCTTTCAGAGGCTGGAAGCACGAGGCTCAGAAACATCAGGAGATCTTCAACAGGGCAACCAGGTGTCAAGAACACATCTCTGGAACTCTTCCCACATGTGTTGTGCAGCAAAGGCTTTCCTTCGCCTGGCCAGGGTATTGTGAGGTGAGGCATCGCGGTGTGAGGAGCAGGCTCCTGGCAGGGCTGTCAGTTTGTCCAAATTGCCAAATTATCCATACAATCATATTAGTAACATGCATTGCCAACTATCTTTCACACACAACAGCTTTTAAAATTTGTATTTTTGAGAGCTTTTGGTTGGAGATGATGAGGTGTTTGTATGCGGATGAACCATGTCTGGGTGACAATATAAAGAGAAAGATGAGCAGTCGGACAGTATTGCCCATAAAAGACAACTTGCATACTTTGCAATTTACTTCCATTATGTTTTGGGGAAAATAACAGTTCTGTGAATACTACAAATCCCTACTTTCTGCCACAAGTTATATGCCAGTGTCATGGCTGGAATAAGAGCAAAAATAATTCATTCATATGACCCTGACCGGGAGGTCAGTGAATTTAAAAACAAACAAGAAAATCCAAACCCTTTTGGTGTAATTTATTTACTTGCTATTTTGATTCCATAAGAGTATTCTGCTGTGTGACCTATTGCAGCAACTTTGATCTTTCATTCTCAAATCTTCTTGAAAAAAAAAAAAAAATATTTGGACACCCCTTTCTTCCTTAATAATCAAATGCTGTTTATTTCATCTGTTCATATAGACTAAAATCCCATTTATCTATAACCCCTTGATATGAAACTCGCTCCTTTGAATCTAGGTTATGTCCCCTGGTGTGAATTACTTATACAATAACTCCCTCAATTATTTGAAGCCCTGTTTATCCAAATGTTTTGATGTTCCCAAAGTATTTTGAATAAACAGGGTTTTGCTGTCGTGGGATGTATCAGATATCTTTTGGGATACATACAGGATGATTTCCCCTGACCTTATTTTGTATCATCTTGTGCTTAAACGTACGAGCAGTGTAAACTTAAGTGTATAGTGTATGGGCACCATCTTCAGTACTTTTATTTCTGTTCCCATTAATGATTTTTATTTAGTCCTTATTAAAGGCGCAAACCCCAGAAATTCTGCTCAGGAAGAACTCCACACAGATTCAAGTAAATTTTTTCTCTTGACTAAAGAGTGAATACTAACAATAAAAAAGACCTAGAATTTCGTGGTGGTTTTTTTTTTTTTTTTTTTTTTTTTCATTTTTCAAACACCCCCATTTACACTAGCTTATGCCTTCACAAAGTCCTCATGTTCTTCTGTTGTTGTTGTTTGCCACTACCTTTCTCATAAGAGCCATGATTCTCTTAAGGGTGAAGATCATGAAAAGATGCAAGAATTGGAGGAAAAAAAAAAAAAACAGGCTCATAAGGACATTATATACTATTTTTCAATTGTTCATTTTAATGTATTCTTGGAGTTACTAAAGTAATTGCCCAAATTTCAAGAAAAAGCATCAATAATTTTGTGTAATTAGCGTAGAATGAGTCAATAGTTTTCTCATGGTAAGAAGAATTTAACAAAAATTAAGAGTTTATTTACAATTAGAATAACCTAATTGCTAATGCCAATGATAAGGGTATATTAAAGAAATGATACAACAATATTCAGTTTTTCCAATGTCAAGATCCATTTTCATGCTATCAATATATTCCACCCACAGATCTATGGACATACAATACCTCGGATAAATGGTATTCAGAATACAATATTTTGCAAACTCACATCACTGCACAGGTACATCATCAAATTGAGTCAGGTACTCGTACAGCCTTTAAGCATCAATGCTGTTGACAAACTGTAATACCTATATGAAGAATAATTATATAAATCAGCCATATCTCCAAAGAAACAGCCTAAAATTGAGAAATAGTTTCCTTCAGAGGTGGGTAGCCAATCAGCATCTTCCTAAGAAGCCTAAATAGCCTCTAAGAAAAGAAAGGGATTTCAGTAGTGCAAGTAGATGTTTTAAATTTTTACAATACTCTTGCATTTCAGGCATGTTCCAGTATGTATTATGTACTGGAGAACTTAAACTACCTAGCATTGGTTGTTGAAAGACAATGCTTCTGCAAAGATTCCATCTTTAACAGCTCCTACACTAGTCCATTGCGGTTGAACTTGATCTTTGAGGTCTTTTCCAACCTGAGAAATTCTGTGATTCTATGATTGTTGTTATATTTATTTTGCATGTAACAGTTTTCAGCAGTCTATATATTCTAGTACATCATTTCAACTTTCACCCAAGAAATGAAAAAAATGGAGCGTTAGTTCCTTATCTACATATGATCTTTCTTTCGTGCAAGGCTGAGGTAAAAGCATATAAAATGTTTAATAATAAAACAGATAAAAGCATTACTAAGACTTTAAAAGGATGCTGGAGAGATAGAGAGGCATTTATATTTAATCTAAGCACTACACACGAGTGACCAATTTTGCCTTTTCTTTACATAAATAGCAAGCTATCAACACTTAAGTACTATATCTAACAGCCATTTAATATGTCCTTACCTTTCATTGCCTACAGATTCTTTTCTCAGAAAAGTCCCGCAATTTGGGGGCCCATCCTCTGCATATTGGCACACTTTAGGCTTTCCTGGGTGACAAATTCAAATTCACTTATTGAGACATTAAACCACTGATAAATGCTCAAGAACTTCAAAAATAAAGAAAACTGAATGACACCAGTTTTAAAAATCCTGGAGTTGCATGGATCAGTTCCAGTTGCAAAGTGATTATTCAGGAAGAAGCCTAGAAACAGTAGAGCTCAGCGACCAGAGCATTTGGTGCTTAAGGAATAGAAAATAGGTATATGAAAACAAGAACACTTTCTGGCCATTGTTTTGTGCTTTGGAGCAATTCCATCCATTCAGCTTCCACCATAAAATGTGCATCAGCCCAA